AATTGGACAGATGATCAGTGGTCACAAGTTATATGGAGTGATGAAACTAAGATATCGTTATTCGGTAGTGATGGACGAAAATATGTAAGACGTAGAATAGAAGAAGAGCTACATCCTGACTGCATTCAAGCAACTGTGAAGAACCCAGTTAGTGTTATGATTCAGTCATGCATGTCAGCAGATGGTATTGGTCGCCTTCATGTCATCGATGAGACACCGAATGCCAGAAAGTACATTGACACTATTCTAGAACCAAAACTTCTACCTTCCATCAGAGATCTCTTTCCCAACAATGCTTCGTTTATTTTTCAGCAGGATTCTGCTCCTTGCCACACAGCCAAAATATCGAAAGAGTGATTTCGTACAAAAAACATTAAATTGTTGTCATGGCCAGGAAACAGTCCTGACCTCAATCCTATCGAAAATTTGTGGCACCATTTGAAAACTCTTGTCCAAATGAGGCGCCCATCAAATAAAAGGACTAATTGAGGCTATAATTGTTTCCTGGCATCATGTAATAATGAAAGAAGAGCTTAAAACTCTTGTCAGCTCAATGAAACGTCGATGTGAAGCTGTAGTCAAAAATAAAGGGTACCTTACTAAGTACTGATAACTCACTGCAATTATCACTATCTAATGTATATTGATAACTATTATCGTTTAACTTTTTTGTATTGCAAATAATTGAATTTTGTGTTTTGTATTGAATTCAGTAATAAATTCTCTTTAAAATGATATATACAAGTTTGCATTTTCTATAAGCATACAAAATTCAAAAACATAAAAATTTCCAAAAGTGTCCACAATTTTGGCCACCACTGTAAATTGGCTTATCTGGTAGACATTTTTAACGACATGAACGATATATGTCTTCCAATTCAAGAGCCTGATACAACAATTATGGATGCCACTGAGAAACTACAGGCATTTTTATTGAAAATGTCACTTTGGAAAATTAGAATTCAAAATGGGATATATGCAAACTTTCAAATGTTGGACGAAGTGCTTTTTGAAAATGGATCTCAGAAAGATAGTTTGTTATTGAATAACTTGAAAAATGAAATCTGTGAACACCTGGAAGTACTTCAAGTTTCATTTGAAAAATATTTCAATTCAGATTAAATAAATATAAAAGATGAGTTGTGGATTCGTAATCCTTTTCTTTGTGATATTGACTGTATCAATGACATGAACCTTGCCAAAGATAAGCTAATTGATATTTGAAAACAAATTCCTTGTTAAAAATGGATTTCGAATTCAAAAACTCTTGGAGAGTTTTGGTCTTCTTTAAGAGAAGCCTACCCATTGCTTGTAAAATGAGCTATGGCAGCCATTATTCCGTTTGCTACAGTATACCTTTGCGAAGCTGGATTTTCCACACTTGTCACAATAAAAACAAAATATCGAAATAGACTGAATGTCGAACATGATATGCGCGTTGCTTTGTCGAAAACCATCCCTCAATTCAATCTGTTAATCAAGGAAAAGCAGCAACAGCCTTCACATTAAAAATTTTAATTTCTTCAAATTTTTTATACTATTGAAATAAAAATATTAAAATAATAAAACAGAATATATTTTGTAATAAATTATGTTTAAGCAATTTTTTTTTCACAGAGGGGTCCGTGACATATTTAAAATTTTTAAAGTGGTTCATTGTGCCAAAAAGGTTAAGAAACACTGCTCTAATGTGCATTGAGGTAAAAAAGCAGACAATTCACTCAACACTTCTTTCATGTTCACGATTCACGTTGTTGTATTTTCTGAGCTTTGTTATTTCACAAGATTGTTTAGTGCTGTCAGTTTTTTTAAATCCGGATATTTTGTGAATAACTAAAGAATATTTTTAATTTCAGCGCTTTTTAATACAATTACAGATAAGAAACACGCTCATTATTTTACTGCTTGCAACATTGAAAAACGTAAACATGTTGCATTGCATGGAAAAATAAAGAAAAGCTGTTGAAATTTTACAGCAACAATAATTCTAACAACGGAATCCGAAACCGGAAATCTTTGTATGAGGTGAAATTAGCAAACCTCGATGCTATGTACATATAATACAATAAATAATATAATCAATTTATATATGTAATAATAATTTAATGCATATAATAAATTATTGCAATAATGAAAATAATAATTTAATTAAATGTATCTAATACGCACAACCTCTGGGTTCCAAGCTTTGAGCTTTTCTGGACTTCTACTTATTACCTACAAAACAGAACCTTTCACATTTTAAACCAAATTAAAAGTCCTAAATAATTGCAACAATCCAACACAATAAAGCCTTAGTCAAATGTGCTATCCGTCAATGGCATTAAAGCCAGAATTAATAAAGAAACAGAAAATATGCTTGCTAACCACTATGAATATTCAAACAAACTAAAGTAAACCACAAAAGACAGAAAACACTATAAGGACATCAATCATTAAACTAAACACGAAAATATCTGATGATCGCAATTCCACATCTGATCTCACCCTTGAGGAACTAGAATTCGCTATTAGGCGCCTTAATCCTAAGAAATCCCAGGATCTGACCTCATCTATGGACAAATGGTCATGCATTTTGGCAAAAATGCAAAAAGACGCCAGCTTAAAATTTTCAATATTTCTTGAAGTAATGGCAAATTACCCAAAATCTGGAAGAGCTCAATTATTATACATATCCTTAAGCCAAAAAAGCTACCTACTGCAAAAAATTATAGACCCATTTCGCTAACAAGTATCCTTTGAAAGCTAATGGAAAGAATCAGTCACACTAGGTTGATAAATTTGCTTATTGAGGGAAATGTAATGCATTTTCATCAGACTGCTTACAGGGTTAAGCATAGCACCATAGTTCAACTCTTTTACCTCTGTCAGGTAATAACTGATGAATTCCAAGAAAGGTCCACAAGAAGATCACTATGGTCATTCTGGATCTCTGCTGTTTGATAGGGTCCGGCGGCAGAAATTGATTAATATCATTCACAGCACAGATAGTTAGAGTAATTCTCTCATCTGGATAAATAACTTCCTAAGAGGATGAAAATTCAAAGTATGGCACTTTATCAAACATTCAAATATTCATCATACTTGGGCAGGAGTCTCTCAGGGATCTGTGCTAAGTCCTTTTCTCTTCCTCCTGTACTTGAATACCATTGACTCTCACATCAGTGTGGAAGCTAAAGTGGCTTGCTTTGCCGATGAAACTCGTCACATACTCACTCAAATATTTATTTTCCGCAAAAGGTTCTCAATAGTTGTATGCAGGAAATTGAAACTTGGTCAAAAGAGGTTAAGCTTACTATAAATCCTGATAAACTTAATTACCATATTTTCTCCACTAATAGGAAAAAGCAGACAACCTTTTCATCCTATTATAAACATCTTCAATTTTCTTCAATTCATCAAGAGTGGTTCTGACATCAAACAATTTTCATATCCCAGGTACTTAGGCCTAACTCTACATGCAGAAAGGAGATTTTAACACATTAAACAAATCGCTAGCAAAGCCTTAAAAAGGCTAAATATTCTAAAAAGATTATGTGGTGCATCCTGGGGATCAAGACCAAAGACTCTTCTTAACACATATTTCACTTGTTAGGCCCACTCTTGAATATGCTGCACCAATATGGACATCAGCTTCAATTTTTAAAAAGGAAAAGATAACAGTATTCAATACAGAGCCTCCAAAATCATCCATCTACAGCTGTTTCATATACAAACAACATTAAAGCAGAAACTGAGTGTGGTCTAACCTCCTTAGAAAATAAAAGAAAATTAGCCATCAATTCACAAACAAAATTCGACACTATCAGGACAAACACATCTCCATCGAAGCATTCAAAGCATGGAGTGGAAAAATTAGACAGAAAAGGTCCACTTTCTTGCAACTGGACCATGAAATCAGGAGAGAAATTGGCTTAGAGCATGTAACTATTGAATTAAAGAATCCCTACTTTCTATTCATCCCTCTCCACAGGCAATTATCAACTTAAATCCCTTACAACCTTGCACTGAAAAAGTATCAGCTGCACTATTTAAAGGGAAAGGCACTCGCACCATAAATGAGCTTACTAATTTAGATCATAACGTAGCCATTGCCTACACAGATGGTTCCTCTGACATCAACCTCAGTAAAGGAGGTGCTGGCATATATTTTATACATGCAAACAACAAATATGAATCTCATTAAATTTCTGTTGGAGAAATTGCCGCAAATTATACCTATAATCTTGTAACTATCAAGGGTGCTTTGGATATTTTTCTCTCCAAAGCAGTTCAAAATTCCAGTGGCACCTTAATATTCCCAGATTCTAAATCTGCACTTCAAGTGATCCAGAGGGCCGTCAAGTTGCCCAGGATATTGTTGTGCTCATTAACACAATAATGGATGTCCGCAAAGCCTGCACCCTACAGTGATCTCTCAACAAGTTATGAAAAATTTTATTCTCAAACTAAACCGCAGCCAAATTATTTCATCTACCATATCCAGACTGAAAACAAAGCACTTTAAAGTAATGAAAATATCCCCTGATAGTCTGCAAAGTTATAATTGCTGCCTTCACTGTCCTGGTAAGCAACTTTCTCCAGCACGCATCTTTCACTGCCCTGCCATACTGGAGAGGCTTATCAGAATTGATTTTGACCCCCCCCCGGGAGTGCCAGCTTCTACATTCTTTGAAGGATTGTTGATACTGTTAGGACTGTTTTAGATACTTCTGGCCCTATCTGACCTTTCTGCACTAACTTTTGGACAAGACAAGAACAACAGGCTGATACAATCATTTCATTGTGTTTTGTGATACATCTATGCATTATTATTAGGCTCAGAGCCTATTGAACATCATCCAAACAAGCAAAATATGACGAATATCTTAATTCAAATTTCCAATAACATTTTGCTCATTTATAAAGAAGATAACCTAACCACATGGTAAATAATGCACCATATACATTTAGTTAACTGCACAAGATGAAACTGTAGAAAACACACAAAATTATCTTACTCTTTTTCTTCATGCTTGTTGGGCTGAGGTACTGGCTCGGTTAAACACATACAAAATTCTGGACTCCTAAGTTGATTCGACTGATAATATGTTATTAAGCTATAAAGAGTGTCAAATGATATAGTATCTATTAAATAATATTTTGTTTGGCCTCTTTCCTGTTTTGATCGAATACGGCAGTGGTTCACAGTACCTTGACGCCTATAATAAAATAGTAGATATCACACAAAAAAGAAAAACTGTGGTAACATGACACACAACAATGATAAAATAAAAAAATAATATCCTCAGATTTGCATCCACTCAGTAATGCTTTATATAAAACTTGTTAAAATAAACATCACAGATTAAAATGCAATTCTAATCACATTATTGTGCAGTTTAAAATAAACCACTTCAATTATAAAGATTAAAGGCAGCTTAGACACCCCATATAAAGCCCCTCCATAATAAGAATTAAAATTATAAATGAACATAATAACTAGCAACTGTAATTAATTTCATGAAAAACAGGTACATAGATATATCAGAATTATGGAAAGTGGAAATAAATGGGTTTATGCAAGCATGCTTGTGTGTATATGCATAAATGTGTGCACAGGAGCTACATAATAGATAATCACGTGCACTGATACTGCAGTTGCTTATTTAAGAATTATACTTAGCATTCTGCATTTGTTAGCTTCATTAACAGTTCTAATGTGTAGCACTTTTTAGGCCTTCATAGCATCTTTTTACTCATTACTTCAACAGTGGTATCACATTTTTAACATCATATTTTGAAAAACGTTTTACATACAGGGTGACGCAAAAGTTCCATCAACATTTGAAAATTCAATAATTCACGAGATAATGTAGGTAGAGAAATCAAAATTAATAGATGCTTGAAATGACATGAAGTTTAATTGAAGGAAGAACAAATGGGGAAAAAAAAAAGGGCGAAAATATGGTGCTGAGCAGCAAAATGTCAGTGACATCGCATGAGAATCGTGTATGAAATGAGCTACAGTGAGAGGGGGAATCAGGCCCTTCCTGACTCTGTCACTTTTCCATCCTCGCCTCTGGGTGTTAGTCACATGTGATGTGGATTTATCACATCAACAGTAATTGGACTCTTTTTTTTCTTCGAGGAAATGCATGATTCTGCTATCCAAAATGTCAGTGTAAAGGGTGCAAGGTACAGTGATATGTTACAGAATCACATCATCCCTAGTCTGGCTGATAAACACCTGTTGGAAGGCATGCCTTTTATGTAAGATGATACTTCATCCCATATTGCTACACGTGTGAAAGAACTTTTGCCGATATCGTTTGGTGAGGATCACATGCTGATGTACATGCTTGATACCTCAGGTCCACAGATCTCAATCTATGTGATTATTGGTTATGGGGTTACCTGAAATCACAAGTCTACCACGATTGTCCGACCTCATTAGGGATGCTAAAAGACAACATCTGATGGCAATTTCTCATCATACCTACAGATATGCTGTACAGTGCTGTTCACAATATTGTCCCTCGATTACATGTATCATTGGTGAATGACAGCCAACATGCTGAACATTTACTATAAAAAGCCTAGTCTGCAAAATATTGTTCTAATTATTACTTTTGTTATTCCTATGCTAATTATTGCTTTCTTATCCTATGAAGTGCCATCTGTTGGCATTTTAAGCACTTTTTTTTTCTTCTTTCAGTTAAACCCCATGACATTTCAAGCTAGCATGACAGTTTTTACCTCAATACCTACATTATTCAGTGAATTACTGAATTTTTAAATGTTAATGGATTTTGGGGTCTGCTAAGTTACATTTCAACTCAGCTATATGCAAGTTTTGCTTCAAATCACTAATTTGAAGCAGAATTTCACAAGAATACAAATACAGCAAATGACAACAGAAATTCAAACAGCAAATGAATTAAAACACTTAGGCATGTTTAGCAGAGCAGATATCAAATTTATCTTAAACTCTCCCTCTATTACTTATTTTTTCTTGTTTTAGGAATTTTAAATTTTATACTAATAACTTATCCTAAACTGTAATTATGTATCTGCTTAAAACAGTTAAAAAGCAGCAGAACAATATTGTTGGCAAAATTTGTTTTATATTTATTTGGATTTTTTTAAACAAGTACTTGATTTACACACAATTAGCTTTTCCACCTGGGGGGGGGGGGAGAAATTAAAATTTATTTCTTAAATGCATGTAATATCTTGAACTTGTTAAAGGGTATATATCATGGCTAAAAATGATTATTTTTAAGGCTGACACTTTCATTTAATTACATTAAATTTCTCAAATCTTTAATAGAAAGAATATTTTGGCTAGTACAAGTAAAATTTATGTATCTTTTCAACATAAATTTACATATAAGGGTTTGTTATGGAACAGTATTAGGAGTCTTGTGGTTCTACAAAGGAATAAAATAAGCGCTTAAGTTAAACACGAAAAGATTTGTACACTTTCCATATAATTTCCACGTGAAGAATTTTTCCCCTTATGAAAGCTCTCTTCCATTTGAGTGGGGTTACACAAAGAAAGCTTTAATCAAACAATAAGTAGGGAGTTCTTCCTTTCATTGGCAGTTCTATTAAAAAAACTTCTTTATGAAAGTTTCATAAATTTTAATATTTCGCCTTTACAATGGTGGATAAATATTTTTATTCCCTTACAAATTTTTAAGTGGAACGACATTACACATATTTTTGGTAAAAAGACAAAAACCTTTCTTCCTAAAATAGTCTCAGCTATTTTGTACCTCTTTCTTAAATCAGTTTCGTAATTGCTGCATTCTGGTATGTACAAGATATGTTTAAACAGCTGCGTTTTGGTTGCTTGATAAAAATCCTTCAGCAAAACAATTTTGTGTTATTTAGCTAAAATAACTTCTTTAAGCTAGTTGTTTTTTAATATCTTTTCAGAAATAATAATGACATCAAGAAGCTTTATCAATTCATTAAAAAGTTGAGCATTGTAACCAAACTGTAGAAAGAAAAATTCAACAGCATGCAAAAAGAATGATTTGTATTCATCCACAGTTTCAACATATTGTTACGAATTTGGCATTTAAATAATTAATGTTAGTTGAATTGTAAGTTAAATGGTTTTATATCCAGCGCAGTGCAGCACATGAAGAATATTAAAAGAAAGCTAAGCCGGAAAATTGAAAAAAACAAAAGCGCATGCATTTAACATTTAATAAATACCTCTTTTTGATTTCGAGAAAGTTCCAGAAAATTCTCTTGCGCAATTTAAAATCTTATAAATAGGAGGAAAACCTCTCAATTCGATGAGTTAGTTAGTTTGTTGTTGTTTCAAGAGTTTGTTTAAAAAACTGCTCTTGTTGATTGTAGTGAATTCGCGGATTAGCTTTCTTTGGCTGCTTTGAATTAAGTTCTTTTGAACGTTTGAGTAGTTAGAAGATACTACTGTGATATATTGTGATACTGCACGATTATTTGAGGACATTTAATCATATTTGTTGTGATAATAATAAATTTTCTTCATTTTTCATCGGACTTGTGCATTCATTTCGTAACGAACCTGTACATACGCAACAATTTTTGGTGTCAGGAGTAGGGTTTGAATGCCAATAACAAGAGCAATGGAAGAACTGTTAAGACAGTTAATATCAGCCTTTGCCTCGTTTAAGGAAGAAATGAAATTGGGCCAGGAATCTGTTAAGGAAGAGATGAAGGCCATTCAAGCTGGTCAATTAACTTTTAAAGACGAAATTAAAGTTGTTAAGGAATCTGTTAAAGAAGTAATAAAAGCTGTACAAGTAAAGATTGAAGAAAGTTAATACGAAATGAAAAGAGAAATTGCCTGCATAATAGAAATCAAATTCGATGCTATGGAAGGCAGAATAGACGTGGTTGAAAATAAAGTGGGACAAATTGAGAAAAATGTTTCTTCTGTCAAAGAAATAAAAGGAAGAGTTTGTTCCTTTCAAAAACAAATCAAACAACAAATTGATGACCGGGTTTCTGCGGTTGGCAAAGAACTGTATACTTTAAAGAAATTCGTAGCGACGGCAGGGAGCAATTCGGATAGTTTTAAATTTTTATCGATGCTTGCTCGTCTCTCTCTGAAACTATCTACATATGATGGGAAGACCTCCTGGCAAGTGTATAGGACACAATTTTCTATCGTTGTGGATGCAAATGGATTCGATTCCCAAACTAAGGCCTGTCATTTCACCGGTCTCTGAGAGCAGATGCAGCGGATATCCTGCAGACGCTTCCAGAAAACCAGACTTGACTTCGAAGCCCTATCTGGCGCATTGGAGCTGCGCTTTGGCGAGAAATGTTTAAAAGACAACAGCAGGCTTCAATTAAAATCCCGTCAACAGAAGCCCACTGAATCACTCCAGGAACTCGCCACAGATGTTGAAAGGCTGTACCACCTCGCCTTTACGGACTGTCCGAGAGAAACGAGGAAATCCTGTCCCTGCAGTACTTTATCGATGGTATCAGGGATCCCGAAATACAGAAGGCTCTGCGAGTGGCAGATGTGAAGGACTTAAAAAGTGCTCTGTTGTACGCCTTGAAATTCAAGGCAGCTCAGCAAGAAACTCGTAGAGATCACTACCCAGTCAGAGCTGTGCGAGTATATGAGCCAGGGGTCCAACTGATGGCTTGTTTAGATGAATTAGCCAGAGAAGTCAATGCTTTGATAGGGAGTAGGAGTGAGAACAAAATGTCTCTAAGATGTTGGAAATGTGGTATTGAAGGGCACATACGACAGCATTGCAGAACCCCAGGGCACGGATAATAAAGCGGGTGATTTAATAAGACCAGTGAATGCCTTAAGACGGAATACTGGTGAGAAGAAACCAACCCTAAAGTGCTGGAACTGCGGTGTTGAAGGCCACATACAAAGGAACTGCAGAACACCCCAGAGCACGGAAAATAAGAGAGGCGGGTTAAACAGACAACTAAATGCCATGGGATGGAAAAGGTGTGACAAGAAACCAAAGTGCTGGTACTGTGGAGCTGAAGGCCATGTACGGAAGAATTGCAGAACACCCCAGGTTACGGAAAATAAGATCATTTCCCAGCAACGACGCAGGAAACAAATGAATGGCCATATCGAGGAACGGAGGTTGCCAGAGAACGAAAAAACCTTGTTTTAAAGCACTCAAGATTTCAACAGTGAGCGGCAACAGTAACGGACTGTCCATCAATGGGCACATCGATG